CTTTTTTACAAGTGAAAATGCAGCACCTGAAAGCTCCCCCCCCCCAGCTGAGCCCTCTGCTGAGTTGGCTTTGGCGCCTGCGCAAGTGTACTGGGGCAATGAGGCCCTGGGGCAAGTGTACTGTTGGCCCCGCATCGGGTCCAGCCCACATTCCAGTGTTATCTTAGATTTAATGAAATTATGTTCAAGCCACTCTTTATCCACTACACTGATCTCTCTTCTAATCAGGCAGTCCCCTGCGATGGAAGCAATATCAAGATTTCTGTACAACCAAATTGATGCTAATTATCAGAGAAACGTGAACCTGGCTGGAGACCACATCTCTTTTCCCGCTGCTCCCTAATGCCTGCAGAGGGTGGCCATGCAATGGGCGGGGAGGCCAAGTGCACTGGGACCGGGGCTGTCTCTAACAGCTGACCCCATGGACAAGGTCTACTGGGTTTGAGCTGTACAGGGTCAGGTTTCTCAGGCCCAAGGCCCAGGACAACAGCTCTCTACTGTCCTTCCTCTCCAGACCCACCCTGCAGTTTGATCCTACATGCCAGCCCCAGGCTCACTCCCTACTGTCCAAGGCTTCCTCAAGGTGACCTAGATGGAGCCAGGAACCAGCCACACCTGGGGCTGGTCAGAGGGACTTGGGGAGCCTGTGCATCCTTCCAAAAGAAGCAAGTGAGCATGGGCTTCCTGAGCTGCCATGAAGTCCAAAGGGTGGCTTTGCTGGCTCAGCCCACCCCTGCCCAGAGCATTCCAAACCAAGGCTCACCTGGGTCCTTTGGGCCCTAGAACCTGTGCACACTCCCAGCAATCCCACGAGGGGCATCTTTTCTCCTGCATTGAGAGCTGCTCAAGACCTCACATCGTTAGTGAGTCTGCTGCGTGGTCCCCAGTCTCATTTCTGTGGAAGGGCCTATTGACCCCAGAGCTGCCCCCCTGAGTCCAGGAGGCTGATTGGGATGGCCCCACCCCTGAAAGGCAGAGAGAGGGGGCTGCTGACATGCAGGGAGCTGTCTGACAACCCCACACTACTCAGGCAGAGCTTATCCTCACCAGGGCCTACAGGACGGACCCTGTGAGCCCCCTGCAGTCCTCACTGAGCAGTCTAAGGGCTCTCTGCTCGCTGCCCCTTGCTCATGCACAGACCTGCCTGCTCTGAACCAACCAATTTCCCTGGCTTCAGCTGGGCACGACAGCCTGGCTATCTGAAATCTAAGACAGGAGCCACCAGGAGCCAGACATGGCAGAGCTATCAGGCCACAAGTGCATGCGCGTAAGCGTGCCTGTGTGCGTGTGTGCCTGTGTGCATGTGTGCCTGTGTGCATCCACTGGGGGCCTGGTGCTTACGCTCATGCAACCCTGTTTCCAGGCTCAGCAAGGCAGTGAAGTCCAAAGACTGGCTTTGCTGGCTCAGCCCACCCCTGCCTAGAACCAGGACCTGCTGACGGAAGATTCCTCTCCCCAGCCCAGCAGGAGTTCCGGAAAGAGAGAAACTAATTATGGACAATAAAGGCCGCTGCTCAGCTGAGGAATGTATTTTCATAACTTCTAGCTCAGGATGGTGGGGGCCATTGCTGGCCTAGGGCAGGTATGGAGATTGCTGCCTGCCTGCCAGACAGGGCCCTGCCTGTGCAGGTGCTCCCCTATTAAGGCTGTAGGATTGTGGGGGGCAGGAAGGGGGTTGGCTTTATTTGGGCACCTGCCTCAAATGTCTGTCCACTCACCTGGGCAGGGCTTGTGCCTGGTGTGGCAAGCCCCTTCCCTGAAGCTGGCACAGCAGCCCCTGGCACAGCTATAGAGGCGGTACGCTGGGCCCTGACGACCCCCCGTGTCCTCCAGTCCTGGATGGCTGGTCAGCTGCCTTCTGTCATCTGCTGCAGGCCACCCTGGTACCCCTCCAACCCGGCAGCACAACCGTGGTCCCCAGGTAGCCCTAGTAGGGACTCCCAAGCCCAACAAGGGCCTGGCCCCAGCCGCGCATTCAGCCTCACCTTGAACATTTGTTTGACCCTCTGCCGGGGCAGGTTCACGTTGAGCTTATGCAGTAGCTGCAGGACCTCGCCGATGCTCAGGCTGCCATCTCCGTTCTTGTCAGCCTCATCGAATGTCTGCTTCAGCCACTTTGGGGGCAAGTTAGGGGCCAACGTGGCTCACAGCCCAGTCACACCCGCCCTATACCTTGACAGTGAGGGGTGGGAGGTCCCAGACTGCGTGTCCCTTTCCACTCCTCTTCCCCAAGTGTGCGATCAGCGGGGGACCCCTCACCCGGGGTGGACGGTTGAAGGGGCTGTCCCTATCCCCAGGTGCCCAAGGATATTGGTCCCTGGTGCGCTGGCGGCGGGCCAAGCTGTCCTCATCACTGATCCCGGCCATGAGGTAGCGCAGTCCTGTCACCCAAGTGCGCGCCTCTTCACCACTGGATGAGACCAGGTCCAGTGACTCACGGTGGCCACCATGGTAGATGCTGAAGCAGCAGTTGGGGTCAAAGCTGCCATCGGGGTAGCGCTGGAAGATCTCTGACTGCCGCCCCTCACTCACCTCCTGGATGGAATCGATGGAGACTGCAGGTGGGAGGGAATAGTCACGCTCTCCCGAAAGCCAGGTGTCCCCCTGCAACCAGGGCCCCAAGGGACTGGGGACCCGTAGCATGGCGGCTGAGCAGCCTGGGGAGCAGGGCTCACAGCAACACTCTCTCACAGAGCCCAGGTACGCGGGGGACCCTCAGCACGTTCACGAGTTTGGCTGAAGAACCCTCTCTCCCCAGCTCTGCTCTGACCTTACGGTTACACTCCCCTGTTGGATACAAAAAAGATCCACACAACCCAAGAGGGAGCAGGGCTGCCTCCCCCCATTTGGCAACCCCAGGCTTCCGGCTGGCTCTGGCTCCACATTTGGCTGAGCTGGTGGAGCGAGGCAGCCAGGACAGCCAAATCCATCTGCCACGCTCCCGCCCACTCATT